ACACTGTTGCTGCTTGTGTCGCTCGCCTTGGTCGTGGTTGTTATATTTATAAACGTGACTTGCATCGGGCTTATCGCCAGTTTCTGGTTGATCCTCGTGATTATCCTCTGCTAGGCTGTACTTGGCAGGGTCATCTCTACTTTGACACATTTTTACCTATGGGGCTCTGCTCCGCAGCTATGGCCTCTCAGCGCATCACATCTGCGGTGTGCTACATTTGTTCCGAGGCCGGTTTTACTGTTCTGAACTACGTGGATGATTTTATGGGCGTGGAGCCAGCTTCTCGGGCATGGAAGTCGTATTTTTATCTTGAAGATCTTTTGTCACGCTTGGGACTACACAAGTCCATTTCAAAAGCCGTCCCTCCAGCGCAGAAAGTTACTTGTTTGGGTGTTGAGGTCAACACTTTAGACATGACTTTATCAGTGGATTCTTCTCGGCTTGCCGCGCTACAGTCGCTACTTCAACTGTGGCTTACCAAGCGCATGTGTACTCAAAAGCAGTTGCAGTCGCTAGTTGGTCATCTTATGTTCGTGTCAAAATGTGTGCGGCAAAGTCTGATTTTTGTGTCTCGTATTCTTGAACTTTTGCGGCGCTTGAAGGCACCTCACCATCATCTTCGCCTTACATCTGAGTTTAAGAAAGATCTTCATTGGTGGTTACGTTTTCTTCCACTTTATAACGGAGTTTCTCTTATTCCGACTTCACCATGGACATCACCAGATGCAGTTTTCTCCACGGACGCTTGTCTTTCAGGCTGTGGGGGTATTTCTTCCACGGCCTTCTTTCATTCTCCTTTCTCAGACAGCGTGCTACAGCGTTGCAGTGCAATTCATCACTTAGAGCTTCTGGTTATTATGGTAGCTGTGCGTCTGTGGGGTCATCTCTGGTCCGGACAACGCATTCAAGTTTTTTGTGACAATGAGGCGGTAGTGACGGTTTTAATCTCAGGTCGCACCAAGGATCCAGTCTTGGCTCAGTGTTTGCGTGAGATCTGGTTTTCAACCGCTCAGGCTCATTTCGAGTTACGTGCAGTGCATTTAACCTCCAAGGACAATCGAGTTGCAGATTATCTGTCTCGTTGGCATCTTTCTGCTACTTACCGTGATTATCTTATTAACAATCATCTGCTTGAGGAATTAAAAGCTGAGCATTTGTCCCCCGACGTCTTTGATTTTGTGGCTAACCTTTAGCCTTGTGTTTCTTTTCAGTGGCTGAATTACACCGTCTGCGCAGACAACTCCAGTTTATTTGACATGCAGCTTACGCTGAAGGAACTCATAAAAATCACCAGACTCAGTGGAGAACATTTTTCTTGTTTTGTTTCTATTTTGAGTTTTTCCTCCCTTCTGGCCATGATAGACACTTCAGCTCTCTATGCTCAATTTCTGAGTCGTCCATTGACTCCACCATCTGTACGAAATTATGTTAGTACGGTTAAACTGTTGCATGTCATTACCGGGCATTCAATATCTCAATTTACTAGTTACGAATTACGTATCACCTTACGTGGATTAGAGCGTTTAGCCCAGCATGTTCTCTCTCATGCACCCCCCGTCACCCCGGCCATTCTTTGCAAGTTGGTGTCCCAGGTGAACCTCCAGGACCCTAGTCTTGTCTCCTATTGTGCTGCCTTTTTGTTCACCTTTTTTCTGCTGGCCAGGGTATCTAACATTGTTCCTAGGTCACGTAGCCGCATGCATGCTTCTTTTTGTCAAAGACGTTCCGATATTGTTTTTACCACAGATGGGTTGTTAGTTACTTTTCATTGAACTAAAACTATTCAGTTTGGGCGACAGCGCTTATCATTGCCCTTGTTATCGATGCTGGGTTCCCCCATTTGTCCAGTACATATGTTTTCCTTGATGTGTTCCCTGGTTCCTGCTCCTAGTGATTCCCCTGCATTTGTTTTTCCGGGGGCCGGGGGAAAATTAGTCCCGATTGTTAAGTCTCAATTTGTCTCAGTCTTTTGTGACTTGTTGCGACGCGCGGAGATCCCTGACTCTGATCGTTTTCCCGGTCATTCTTTCCATCGTGGTGCTGCTTCAAGGGCGTTTCATTTAGGGGTTCCTGGGGAGATCATTCAGGTTTACGGCGACTAGGGGTCCAATGCTTATAAATCATATTTAGAATTTTCCTTTTCCGCCAAGCTTCAGCTTGCATAGCGTATGCATCTCGCCCTCTCTCCTTAGTTTTTTTTCTTTTTTTTTTTTCTTTCTTCGGTTCCTTTTTGGGTGTTTGGCAGTCAGAGAGGTTTATTTGTTAGTTATATTGTACTTGTAGGTTTTATTCAAATAAACTTCTCTCGTATGCCAAAAACGATCTCTGTTATTGTGTTATTCTTATAGCATTACACATTGGGAATTCGTCCATTTTGGGACTTCCGGCTCAAAATATTTAATTCCCTTTTTCAGCGAGAGGGCGCGGATGTTATTGTTAGATAATTGATAGTATCGAGTATCAATAGCACACATACTTGTTATATATTGCGTGATTTTTCAGTTGCATTGTAGTTTGTCTTGTTAAAGGATCAGAGCATTATCTGCTGTAGTATAACCAAAATTTTCATTTACCCAGCCCACCCTCCCGTGGGTCAGAGAGGTTTATTTGTTAGTTATATTGTACTTGTAGGTTTTATTCAATAAACTTCTCTTTTATGCCAAAAACGAACCGTGTTATTGCGTTATTCTTATCGCATTACACATCGGGAATTATAATGTTTGAGTAGTGCCAGTAAGGAGAATTAACTCTTGAATAGAACTACATGTAATTAAATTGTGTTAAGAGTGTATGTTCAGCTGGTTGTTTTTGCAGTTATGAATAAGAACTCAAGAAATTGAAGACCTAGGATGTTTGACTACTACATTGTAAATTTAACTGCAGCTATGATCAGGCACAGAGGCACCGGTGTACAAAGAGATGGCAATGTTCAAAGTACTATTTTCCAACACAATAACATGAAATTCCTGCTTGTTAATTGGAAGAACTACTATTGGTTTTTCTGGAATTTTGAATCAACAAAGAATGATTGCACTACGGAAAATCTTCTCATAACAATACATAAGTTAGTTGTAATTCTGAGTTTATTCTATCTTACTATTTTGTGGATGGTTTGTGGAAAATTGTTACTTGCATTAAGAAAATAAAATTTGATTTTTCAGACATAAAACCCCGGCTCGTCTCGTCTCACAGCTTCGCCACGTGCCTCCTGGCCCAAAAACAAGAGCCTGCTCGCAGGATTCCTTATAAACATGTATAAACAGCGGCATCCATTAATGAGTCATTAATCTGGCACTGATTAGCTCCTTTGATCCAGTGACCTTAGTGTGAAAAATGTTCAATTAATTTTGTTTCGTTTGTTTGTTTTTGCAGGTCATCATGCACAGCACGTTATTTTGTGCTTCCATGTTGTTTGTTTGACTTTAACTGCAAGGTACTAACTTTTGTTTTTGTCAGCTTTATTAATTCAATAGCCTTTGTTTTGACCCTTGGAGACTTCATGCTACAATGAGGATGCTTGGTGAGCCTTACTTTTGACTCACACTCCAAATCTGAACAAAAATTACATAGGAAAATCTTCCTTACAAGACTTAGTAAAGTTTGTTTCATTAATGTATAATTATGGTAAAGGCTGGTTTTCACTAGCGCATAACCTGATGATATGCATAAGGCGACATTAACACAGTAGAGCGTTGCTAAGTACCACCCTTTATTAGAAGAATTTCCTAACAAAAGGCACTAATTATTGTCAACATTTTACTGCGTCTGCATATGTCGGCTTTTGCTTATGCTTATGCTTATGCACCAGTGAAAGCCAGGCTTAAAATACAGTCTTTTCCATTATGTTACGATGTTGTCTAACCTTTATTATGGTACCCGCACGTTATTTTGACTCTTGCAAGGGATTGAAAACGAGAACAGGTGAAACTAGAGAAAAAGTGCGACTAAAACAGTTGATTACGAACACTGGTACAAGATTTGTGTGAGGAGAGGGAAAAATCAATTGATGCAAGGCAACTGGTCGGTGATAGCGCAGATATGACCATTTGTTGCCATTTATAGTTGATTTTCAGATAAGTTTTCATTCTTTTCTTGTTCAAAATGTTGGAAGAGCACTTGATTGTTTCAGAGGAAGCGATGCCTCATTCTTAAGAGGCGCCCTCTGTAAATTTCAACTATGGCCATTTGGACCAGAAAAAATCAGATTCCTCAAACTTTCTCAGTTGAATGGTCTAGATAAGTGATTCACAAAAATATAACTTTCAGTTCAATTTGATTCGTATTTTAGCGCTGGGGCCACCATCTTGGTTTTGCCCCTCTGAG